AGGGATCGTACAAATGGATAGATATCCTATCGTCAGTCGTTGACGGGTATAATAACACCAATTGGAATCAAACCCAAAGACGTAAACAAACGTACACAAAAAACATTATTGAATACGGTTTATACGCATTTGAAAACGGTAGAACCAAAGGGTGTAAAATATCAAACTGGGGATCACGTCTGCATGAGCAAACATAGAACAGCATTTGCTAAAGGATACACTCCTAATTGGTCCAATGAAATTTTTACAATTCGTAAAGTACAGTATACCAATCCTACATCATACTTATTGGCAGATTGGCGTGGTGACGAGATGCTAGGTGGATTTTATATTTATTATCAAAAAGTCAACTATCCAAACATCTATCTTGTGGAGAAAGTGGTCCGACGAAAAGGCAATAAAGTGCTAGTCAAGTACTTAGGACTGGATAGCAGCTATAATTCGTGGATTAAAAAAAAAGTGATTTACTTGTGTGACAAATGTACCTCTATTTTCTGTAATGATTTCTATAGCAAACTTTTTTCAATAAACAGTCTACCTAATATAAGATGTTTATTACAAATATACTGAGAATAGTAATTTGAATAAAAGTTTATTGTTGGAGCCTTGTCGAATTCCTTCAAGTTCGGATATTGGTATGCCAGTTCCATAGCAGTCCTGATGTTCTCCGACTGCGGCAAATCAGCGATAGGTTGCATAATGAAGTCTCGCACATCTATGTGCTTGGTTTGTACGTCCTGGACGAGTGGGGTAAAATATTTTTGGAACTCCTGAGTTTTCAGCATATTCATCGTATAGGCAATCAGCGGGGCTAATTGAAATAACTTCAATACGGTCTCTTTACCCAAATAAACTACGTTACTCCAACGACCTTCAATTTTGATGGTTTGAAAACCTGGAAATCTATCCAAGCTGATACAGAAGGAGTTACCTTGGATCGGATGGAAAATATCATCACTGAAGAAAAAATTGGTTACAATGCCTTCTTGACTCAATACTTCATACCAGTTTTGTTCACTTAACGTAACGCCCTCGGTTTTTAAACCCTTGATATTAATTACAGGTTGGAAGCTCCAATGATATGCTCGCCCAATCGTGATCCATTTTGATTTAGATGGATGTAGATGATAGCGTTGCTCCTGAGTGACAATTAACGGTGGCTGAGCTACACCACTTTGTACAGATCGTACCCCCTTGTCGCTCTGCACATTTGCAACGTGTTTGACACCACCGGAACTGCTCATGTTGTAACACTATGTGAAATGTAGAAGACTGGTATGTGTGCTGAGTAGCTACTTTTATACAGTGTCGATACTTCCTCCACTCACAAACACTCCCCTCCCAAAAATTGGCGCAGATGCAATGGAAAATGATACTACCATTCATGAAGATATATTTATTTATGATATATTTCTGTCATACAACACAGAAAGAATTATTGCGTTTTGGATAAATCGCATAAGACACTCAAACATGCAACATAATCTTCAAATTTGGTGGATGGCCATTTCACACCACATGGTCCAGAACTACATCCTAGTGACTTATCTCCAATGCTACCTTTGGCTTCGTTTTTCTTTAACCATTTAAATACAGTATAATGGCTTATCTTCTATATCAAATACAAATTTAATATCATGCTGCTGTATCACATCGATTAGACTCTTCAGTTTGATGCACAATCAGCCAGATATGCGATTTTACATATGGTTTCATCGATATGGGATACAGCGTCTTTATATCTCTTAGTAATATTTTCTACAGGATGTGGTTTATCTACATCTTCCTAGTTACTGTCAGATAACAGCTTACACAAATCGTATTGTTCATATGCTGATGGTGTGCAGTGCATGTTCGCCAGCAGGTCTCCAAGTTCGTTGATGCTTAATCCATTTATGCCTAAAGAGCTGCAAAAAAAATTTTTTTTATTATTTTTTAAAAAACCTTATTGAAAGAAGACGCTTTGGAGGTATTTTCAATTTATTCTAAAAAAAAATACATAAACAGTTAGTTTTTTAGGATGTACTATACATAGTGCATTAGGAATAAAGGTAGCTATAAAAATAATAATAAAAAAATAGTAAAAATAGTACAAATATTTTGAAACACATCAATATTGCAAATTTTAAAGAGTATGCTATTGAACAAAACATTTCACGTGAAGGCCGACATCACATTTTCTACATCTAGCAGTCGTGCCCTCATGACCTTGTTTGTTTGCCTTGTGGAATGACTAAATGATCTAAACGATCATACCTTAGGTCACCAAAATTTCTTGATTTACCTTGCAGGTACGTATAAGTCTTCTGATTTTGTGTCAAGATAGTTGTATCTACACTTATTCTAAATTGTAATTGATCCACGTTATTTCCTCTCTTTTTATAAATATGCCAGGCGTGAGTCAGGGCCATATCTACACATTGAGAGATCAACGAGAAATACCATTTTTTGCCTCGGATTTGTACTCTGTATTGAGCTATATTCTGGTCTGACCTATCCACCCCGCCCATACATGTATTATACAGCTTGACAACTTGGGGCTGATCTACATACACAAACTTTTTGTCTTCTTAAGAATACCGTTTTACTGAATTTACTGGTTCAATTCCAATCGCTGTAGACCCAAAAGTTACAATATTTTTGTCATTCCATTTTACAAAAATTAAGTTTTTATTTTTTACTTTGGTATAATCAAACACTCGTTGTTCCTTTTACATAAGTTTTGAAGTTTTCATAGAAGACATGGGTATACGATTTTCACGAATTGTTCCTGTATCACATATGCCTTTTTCAGTCAACCTTTCAAACAAAGCTGGCGAAGAAAAAAAATATCAAATACAAAATGAAACCTAAGATTTGCCCATTTGCTTTTTAGCCTATCAGCATAGCTCTATACAACTGATGCGCCAACACCTAAACATTTGTAAGCCGCGTTCACATACGTCGAAGCACCCTGATAAGGTTCAAACCATAAGATGTAACCAAGAGTAGTAGCGCCAACCCAAAATTGAACCCATAACGTATTGGTTTCCCGTGTATATACTGTTTACAACCATGTCAATACTATGGTACTGCGTATTCCAAAAAATTTTTATTTAGGTGATTGAAAAGACGCCTTAGTTTAGCAAATTTATCATTTGCATCCAGAGCTTCATTGTTTAGGAAGTGCATGTGAGACATTATAAATTCACATTTATCGCGAAAAATAGCTTCAGAAACTAGTGAGTTGTGTGAATCACTGGATTTTTCCCAATACATCCTTCTGCGAGATATACTACTGTAGCCACTTAACAATAATATGCCTATAAAACATTTGATTTCAGATTTGGTAACCATAATATTCCTGTTTTTATGATGAGCATACCGATTTGTCTCCTCAACTATTATGTTCAAAATTTCGTCATCAAAAAAACTAAAAAATATCTCGATTGGGGACTGCTCTTGTTCATTTTAATTTTCGTTGTTTATTGGAAATGCATACTCATTTATTGGCAAATCTTCTTTTACGTAATTATATGTTTTCTTCTTTTTCACTTCCTTCCGATTATTACCCCTGATTTCACTGAGTGGTATTTCATCTTCTGAACTCCACATATCCTCGTTTTGATTCTTATTTATTTCGACCTCAGCTTGCATTAAGCTTCCTGGCAAGTTGTTCATATCCAGTCTTTCTTCGTCTCAAGAATCCTCGTCGGTTATGTTACCGCATGCATTAGTGGGAGGTAACAAAGTGATCGACTCAGCTTCAATGTCGTCATCTTCTATCATTGCTAGCGCCTCATGCAAAGAAAAACCCCTGAAACAAATGTTCCTTCTCAAAATAATTACTTATTCAAAAATACCTAAAACCATTTTATTTTTGTTTTGACTATGAACATATTTATGGAACCCTTTTTTCCTGATGTACTAAATATAGTATATCTAACTTTATCATAACCTCATGCACAAAGCATAAATGAAATACATCCTAAAATCATAAAATCTAGAAGCCGCAACTAAGGAAATAATATTTTCATAAAAATAAACTAGTTTTTTTTTATTTTATGTCATAAAAAACCTACTTACTTTGCAAAGCGCACGCCATATTCATTCATCTTCTACTTTCCAATATACAAAAACTGATTTCACATACAAAATATTGCACAATACGCAAAATTACTCCGTACTGTACGAGATCCACCCGCAAACTGTCGCCGCGAACTATTCAATTTAACCAAATCGTACAGATATCTATAGGAACAAAAAAATTTAGGCTGTACTATTCATAGTACATTAGGCATAAATGGGTTAAAACCTCACAACCTCTATCCTTTAGACTTTGCAGGGTTTCCTGTACCACCCAGTCAAGATGTTTCTTTCTTGTTATTACACTGGAAAGCACATCGGGATGGCAACTATCTGCATTTGCAATCCAGTTGAATACTTCGTCGGGTACTGTAATTTCCTCCATTATAAAACTCAGCACTGGAAATTCTCGTTTTTCTGGATTTTGAGACACAAACTGTCGGAGCTGTTTTTTCAACATCTCTTCAGTTACATGACATAATTGCATGAACAGTGAATAGTATGTCTTAGTACTCATCTTTAAAACTGAAGAAGGTGAGTGGGCAAAGCATATATTTATATTCTGGTCCCCACCACAAAGCTCTAATTTCTGATCATTTCATCTGATCCCTAGTCAACTCACTGGCTTCGTTCATTAAGCGCAGCAAGAGGTCCAACCGCTCTTCGTCCGACATGTTATGAAAGGTGATATCTTGATGACCCCAAGCTAATGTCTTTGTTGAGTTTGGTATCAAGAAACGTTTATCATCCATACTGGTCAATGCCACTTTTCTTATATAATTTGTATATATATATATATTGTGCGACTCCGATTTAAATACATAAATCGTACAGTACACAGATGTCCGTTTCTCCTCAATAATATCCTTATAATGTAACAAATGTAATTGATATTTCACACTCGCCTTAGATATACCTTTGGCTCGTTTAGCCACTTAATCTACAGCATCGATACAGTATGCTTTGGGACCTGTACCATAAAAGGCAAACAGCACCTTGCCACCATATTCGTCTTTCATCTTACCCAACTCTGACGCTGTTCGAGGCATGTTATGCGGGTTATCAGCATCATAATTGGATGTGTCAAAGTTATGCATGTGTGATTTCATGTCTTCATAGAAATTATCGGCTTCAACATGTACTATTAACGAATCAGTGTCCGTGTATGTTAACGACACCTTATCACTATATTGGTGCGGTTTTTGAGACATCTAAAATACAAAATCCAACATATGCGGGACGGCAATAATCAATCATTGTTTTGTCCATTTGAATAGATTACGCTAATTTGATATCCACTCTGTTCTCCATGTTTTCAATCGTTTTGCCAAATATACAATTGATCATTGGTTGGAACAAATCTCTTTCAAACGGATTAAGTGCTGCATTTCTAAGTGCCGTGTTAAACAGTATATAGGACTTTAACCACGCTGCTTGTGTGAATTTGGTACCTCTATGAATTTTCGTCAAGATAATACCATGTTTCAAATATTGTTTTAGATTACGATAATGGATAATGTAGCGCTCTTTTTGTGTAAATTTGGAATTAATTTTGAGCTTTGACTGTTGGGTGGTTTAAAATTTTCTGAACAAAATGGTAAATCATTGAAATAATCATGAAGCTCATTCAGTATTGTTAAATCAACTTCTAATGCATATCCAATATCCGATGTATCTGAAATTTGTGTAATTGTTTCTTGAATCCTATCCATCTCATGTTGCGTTAACCAAGCAAAATGACCCGTCGGTAGGTACTGCTGCATAGTATATCCATACAAATTCGATGCATCAAGGTACATTAAGTACGATGATGTCTTTGGTGGATCGTAATGAGGTAAAAATTTACTGTTCGCCTCGACTTTCCGTGAGGTACATGTGCTGACTCCTCCGCGGATCACCTTTTTAAAAAAATGTACCATATCCACATCTGTAAGCAGCTCTAACTCTACTCTAGTATATCGTAGCATTGCATCCCAAGTCAAACCAGGGGCTGTAAAATAGTCAGCTGGATCCAGCTTGTACGTTTTTAAACACAAATCTCTAAAATTTTCAAAGATATCTGTCAAAAGAAGAACATCCGAAGTCAAGTATAAGTCCGAGTACTCCCCCAAACTTTTACACCCCATTACTTCCCAAACATGATGTGCCCGCTCATAATCCTCCTCTGCGATGTGTTCATCACGTATTTCGTCATAAGAGTCTTGTTGGGATGGTAAATATGTTTCATTGTATTTATCAAATGTTTTAAGATATGTATAGGGAAATACACCTTTACATCTCATGTAGGAGAATCTTTCGTCCTCGGGAAACACTTTTCGTACTGTCCGACATTGCTCTGCGCTTAAAAAGGATGCCAACATTTCTAATTTTGACGAAAGAAACTGATATGAATCGACAAATCTCATTTGCAAAAATACGGTTTTTTGTTTTCCCTCTTGGGAAATGTACGTGTCTACCGGTACTAATTTCGTAAATGACACATATCTTTCAAAGGATTATGGAATCACTTTAATTTGTTCTTGATTCATAGCTAAGTGTTTTATGAATAGATGAGCATCATAGTTCTTCAGATTGTGGAAAATATTGGAATATAGTTCGGAGTCTTATAATTGAGATTGCATTTGTACTATGCGCCGCACCACGATATTTCCCTGTGAAATGACAGTGATCTCTAACTTTTATATTTGTATTGGTGAATGGTTGTTCACAAATGAAACATGACTCTGCCTTATTAAACGAAGCTTTATCGTACGTAGTCATTTTCATTTCTACATTTTGTGTTAAATATTGATAATATATTAATTTAAGATCAGCCTCTAATCGAGTAACAAAAATTTGTGCTGCATCCTCACCCCTATATAGTTCTAATTTGGATAGTGAATCATTAAATGAGCATTTTTTGATGTAATAAGCAAATGAGGATGGTTTATGTTCATACTTTCTGATGGTACATACATCCTCTGAATCGCTCGAGTCATTTTCTATCGGAGCTAGAATGCATTCAAAGTCGGCATAAACGCAAAATGGTAGCCTTAATTGTTTGTGATGTTGTTAAAATTTTAGTACATTATCCATTACCGTGTCTCCAAGACGATCAACTCTCGTTTCCAATTTTGGGAGCTTAACTGAAATATATTTGCAATAGGTTCGCATGTGAATTTCTAATTTTTCTTTTGAGGCAAAGTATTGTAAACACCCATCAAAAAAGTGCTTTACTCTCGTATTCCGCGACAACTGACTTGAAACGAGTCTTGAAAAAAAAGTTGGTAATCAAGCAGTAATGATGGTTTCCTTCTGAATCATCAATAAGTAATAAGTTCAGATGAGTATGTTGTTTTTGCGCGGTGTAATGCAACGGTCCCACCACCTGATATTTAGGCTTCCCATCCATGAATTCCTTTTCTAATCCGTAAACGTTGATTGATGTGTTATTCACGCTTTCAAATTGTGATATTGACTTGAGAGCGACTGGAAATGTCACTCCAGCAAAGTTTAAGCCCGGAACATTCGAAAAATGTGGATATGACGTTGTTAGTGATGATCGACCTTTTGATTTTACCATACCAGCTACAATTGACCACGCAAAGCAGTACTCAGCCTTATTACGTATAGTGAGTTCAGCTTTTTTATTCCTAATGTCCTTAGGAAGCGGCAAATATGATGCTGCTCTCAAAGGATTATGTTTATTAATATTAATTTCTAAATATAAAATCTTTTCTAACACCCACCCTGAGCCTTTTTCTGCAAAATCTTTAGATTTTTGTTCTATTTTACTTCCCAAATCGTGATAGATTGCTTTTAAATTTGATGATTGTGTTATGATTGCATTGTTTGTATTGTGGGACTTCACCTCTCCTCGGCTTTTAGCTGGTAAGATATATAAACCAAAAAGTTCCATATTTATTTTGAGCGTTGTTTGCTTATGCAATTCATTTTCAATCACGTTTATGGAGTCATGTTCGAGATTATTCATATATTCAGTAACGTTCAAAGTGTCTATACTAGCGGTTATTTGATAACTGGCTATTCTACCCCGAAATGCACTTCGACATTATTGGGTAAAGGTGTCCATAGATGTGCCTTATATTTGATGCTTTTCAGATGTGCTGCATGTGCATTCCTTGGTACCTCACAGTCGCAGTAAACCTTTTCGTGCCGAGAATTTTGGCTGGCATCGAGGACATTCCCACTTGTCTGCAGTGCTGCGTGAAGCGGTTGCATTACATGGCCGCTTGGATGCGGGCTCCCCATCCTGGCTGCACCGCTCTCTACAGTGTCTCAACAAACTTTTTCTCACCGTGAAGGTCCTTTGGCATTTTGGACATTGAAACATTTTGTTGTGAGGCGTGCACGTATCTGTTTCTAACACCTAAAACATATATATATATATATATGTTTTAGGTGTTATATATATACATATTTTTCTGCACCTCGCGTTCTCCAGTGGCATCAGACACAAAAAAAACATTTTAGCTGCTGTACATTAATTTGACCTATTTGCAGGCTTCGTTTTTGATCCCATTTCTACATATCAAGTTCGTCATTTACTGCACACCGTTCCGTTTCGAGTCGTTCTAGTTGCGTGAACGCCAACTCTTCGTTCCACGTGTCGCGATTGAGTTGCTCATTCACAACACTACGATCTGTGGCGTCCCGTTCAGGTTGCGTGAACGGCAACTCCTCGATGTAGGTGTCGCGATATAGTGCATCGTCCACATCACATCGATCACTCACGATCGCGGCAGACACCGATGGCTCTTGCTGGGTTGAGGTGGCTCTCGACATGGATGGCATTCGCTGAGCTCCCAACAAACTCATCTCAAACGATGGCCAAGCATTGTATGCATTCATCGTTGTAGAGATATCAATGTCCGGATTGATGGATACTAACACTGCCTCAATATCGATCCCATTTGGGGAGTTCTGTTGACTTTGGGCGATGTAATTGTTAAGTATGGTTTGCGAGCCCATGCTAACAATTTCGATGAATAACTCATCATTCCCCGAAGTACTAGCCATCGTTTGCAGGTGCCCGTTCAGCGAAGGGTCAACGGTTTCGCGTGGTGGTACAACTTGAACATTTTGCAATACCCGTACACGGGGCCTTAACAGTTTATCCAGAATCAGGCGCCGACTGTTCGTAAATCCACAGTACGGGCACTTCTTCTCCAAGGTACACAGACACGGTCTTCAACACATGTCTGCAATTGAACAAAGAACACAATGTCAAAGACTGATGCTTTCAACCTGAAGTGTTTGGACTGCAGTGACAGTTACGACTATGAGCACTTATATACAAGCATTTTCCCTCCTAACTCACTTTCACGGATTCTTCCGTTCGACTTTCACGATTTCTAGCATGAATTAACAGTCAAGATTTATTACTTCATTAAAGTTCACTGATCGCGTTTAAGTTTTACATTTATTATCCAATGCTAATTTCGTGACCTCGACTTTCATTCTTAAGAATATTACTACCCACCCATAGTTCCTTTGTCCGTTATAGCATCATGACCTCGAATTCTCCCGACCTTGTGACGGAGAAGGAGAGCATCCTTACATACTCACTATAGTCGTCTTTGCATTCCGTCGCTCCCCAGTCATCGTCATGGATGGTCAGGATCCAAATGATCTGTATATCTTCCATGAAGATGGCTAGTCCACTCCTCTTCGACAGCACAGCCTCTACCTTAATTGCGAGAGGTGCTGCCGACGAAGATGCGAGGGAGGGTGCGGAGGAGGCGTCTTCGTCCGAGAGCGATTCTGAGGTCGAGCTTGATCAACTCCACGTCAACCTTGCTCCTCTTGACGACCCACCTGAGGTCGCCATTCCTGAAGCATATCAGGATGACAATCTCGTGTGGGATCTGGAGGATCCATCCAGCGATTCGAGGTATATCAGCCCCTAATGTGTTTTAAGGAGTTAGCTTTAAGGATTTAGTTTTATGATTTCATTTGTAAGGTTGTAGGTTTTAAGAATTCTGTAAAGCATATTAGCTTTAAGATAATAACACCCAACCCAATTCACGTTTTTCACTTTAATTTCTCTGAAATTCGAATTTTTTAGCTATCTGTCTTGCTTCTACAAACTTACTCTCATTATTCGCTCAACTTATCCACACATTTTTTTCCTTCACTTACCTTCACACTCGATCTCCTTTTCCTCCTAACTTTCCCATTTTCTTTCTTCGGCTGCAATACAGATGCTTGCCTCCCAGCGGAACGTTGTCATACTTACGTATACTATTCGATGCTATTCGCCTTTCGCAGTACAAACACTTTGCTAAGTTCTTACTATGTATGTGGAGCTTATTCACATATCCGTCGCATATACTAAATACGGCATACTTTGCTCCTATGATAGACCTCTCACATACTATTGATCCCATCTTTCTGGTACCGATGTAGTAATATTGCTGACAACGGTCTTCGCTCCATTCTACACCCCTCGCATACTTGACACACGCTCCATTCTACATATGCATTACTTATTACACTTCTTACATATATCAATTAATATGGATATCGCACTCTATATCCATCTTGTAGCTCACTCCATTTAACTAGGAAACCATTCCCCACTGACTTTACTTCTATGGCGAGACCCGGTTCCTACACCAATGATTTTCGTCATCCGTTTCGAAGATCCACCCTATTTTATGGGGACGGTGTTGAGTACACGTCCAACAATAAACTAAAAATGTACCGCAACAACACCACCTACGAATCCAACGAAACTCCTTTGCATGCTCCAACAGTTTATCCATTTGACAGACTAAACACCTACTTTTCTTCGCCAATATTATACTCTGCATCCCACTAGTACCGTACCATTTGCGCCACTTGCAACTACAGAACTGACTTCTCTCGGCGAGATCCACAATTTAAGCATATATTTCCAAAGGTCACCCCTTCTACATCTCAAAGTCGTTCACTCCTACAAGGTCATACCCACTCAAGGTCGATAGTGCTCGAGGTCATATATGTTCAAGGTCGCACTTCAGGGTCACTCGGAAACTCAAGGTCACATTTCAAGGTCACATTTCAAGGTCACATTTCAAGGTCACATTTCAAGGTCACATTTCAAGGACACACTTCAAGGTCACTCGTAAACTCAAGTTCACGTTCCAAGGTCATACTTCAAGGTCACATTTCAAGGTTGGCACCGAAGGTCAACTCCCAAGGTCGTTTGGCACCGAAAGTCGGCGCTCAAGGGCGTCCCAGAACATACAAACCCTATCTACTACTGTTATTCGTCATTGGCAAAATATTCGGAGGAGAGCTGAACAAGATTCTGTTAAGCAAATACTTCGGATAGCCATTATTGGTGAATAAGACTGAAAGCTTCCTTAAACTGGAAAGATGGAAAGTACTGTCAGAGATTTTTATAACCCTGTTCTTCATTTGTTTCACCAGGTTTTTTTTATGTTAAGTTCGTGGTAAGACCTGAAGTTCAGGAACCTTCCGGAAGAAATTGGTTTCCTGTACCAGTCTACCAGTAATATATTATCATTGGTGCGAATCAATCTTGAATCCAAAAAGGGAACAGATTGATTGTCATCTTCTTTTTCGATGGATGTAGGGATCATAACTGTTAAAAGCTTCAACAATATCATCCACCCTCTCATAAGGAATACAAACGATAATATCGTCCACATAGTTTTTTTTGAAAATTAGATTGTATGGCAATACTTGAATAACAACATCAAGCAGGTCATGAATTACATATTCTGCCAAAATTGGAGATAACACAGAGCCCATGGAGCAACCATGTGTTTGTGAAAACACTTTGTTATTAAAAGTAAAATAATTGTTCTGGAAAAGGTATCCTACATATACACCTTGGGAAAAAACATTATTATACATTATAATGAGGAAGAGAGATGGAAATATACAAAAGTATGTAGGTGCGTGAAAGACACTCGATTGTAGGATACTATGTGGCAGCGTCGTTGTGTGACGGACAACGGGGTAAAGTAGAAGAGTGATAAAAGAGAGAGATGGCAGAACGGGCGCTGGCGCCTACCGCTTAGACGGATGCGCTCAACAAATGCGATTTGTTTCTCCCATTCGCAGAGTTGCCGATACCAATATGTCATATTTCTAAGAAATCTAAGTCTACCCAAATTTCGGGAAAAATAGCTGCGGATTCCACATAAGAGTATTCCAAAAATGAAAAAAGTTCAAACTATTAAAATTGTATTAATGTTTCATGGTTCAAATCATATTTTTCATGTTTGTATATTGTTGTATAAATGATTTTGTAATCCCTATTCTTGTTGCCAGTAGAGATACAACAGTATTGAGAGAAATCATGGACCGCTAGATAGGGCTACAACTACCATATGACTATCAAATAGTAGTGATAAACAGGGTTTGTTTATAGCACAGTTGCCTGGTGTGGCGAATTTGCGCCATAGGGGCGATTTGACAGCTTTGAAGGACAACTATAACGGTTACTATGGTGCCCGGTATTCGGGAATCTGGCAATACCTGATGATTCCTAACGTTTATTACGCCAGATTGTTTGCTGACTTGCGCAGTGCAACATGACAATCAACGTGACTGAGCACCTGGTAATCCTGGTTTAAGGTGTTATATTTAAAGAGCTTGGGGCAGTTAGGTATCTAGGTCACATTTTTTAATGTATTTTGAGAAATCCGTAATGTTGAGTAAATACTAGATCACGTTTCTTGCTTAGTTTGCTGAAAATTCTACAATAGACGTACATTTTGAGGAACAGAGATTTGGTGACGACAAAATCGTAAAAATATAACGCATTTTCGTAAAATAATTTCTTTGTTGAAAAGACTGTTCCTTGATGACCCATTGAACGAGTATAGTGTCCCGCTCCGCTTTGAATATTCGAAACACTATACTCCAGCAACATTCAGCTTCAATGTTATCTTTATGAAGTTCTAACGTCTAGGCCATGCTGATTAAAAGCTTGAATGAATCAACACTTAACTCTAAATTCCCCACAATTCGGGAAGCTCTACTCAAATTGGCAACACAGCGTATCTGCCTATTATTCTCATTCGTGATACAGGTCTGCGGTTAACGGTAGGAAATATGTACGAATAGCGATGAAAGTAGACGAGCCGATGCTCTGTTGCCAAGAAATGATTTCCCATGTATAACAATGGTTTTTCCTAAGGTGTATATATACAGGGTGGCCAAACACGTGACGTCATAAAAAAAAAATTAGATTCCCCACATCGAGAGGAACCCAAATCACCCCCATATATATGGTCCGATTTTGTGTAGTTTAGGAGTTATGATTTTTTTTCGGATTTTTCGAGAATTTTTGAGTTCTGTGTTTATTTTTACCATAACTTCGTTAATAATTGTGATAAATGCCTGCTTTTTTCACGATTATGTAGCTAAGATCTAAGGCTTAACTATCATATAATCATTCAAGTCATGTAACTGATACTACTTTTTAATTTTTTTCAAAATCTTCGAACATAACAAAAAAGTAAAAAAGTGCAACAACTTTGAACGTTTATAAAAAATTGAAAAAACATGTTCTTACTATTCGTAAGTATCTTAAAAACTTCCTTACGGTATCAGCTATTTACCGTAAAAATTTCATCAACCTAGCTTTACTACATGCTACCGTAATTGTGGCTCAAATAGAACCGAACCCAAAATTGGATAACCCTCTGCTCAATAGAAATTGTTAGTTTCGGAAAAAAAATTTGCAAAAACCACAAAAACACGTTTGATTTTTACTGAACAGCAGATTATTATTCATTTATGTTATTTACAAGAGGTTTTCAAAATGTCTGCCTCTAACAGAAATGCACAGTGTACACCTACGTATGAAATTTTGTTTTAAATCTCTAAATGCTTGTGTGTTGTTTTTCAACACATGTGTCGCTTCTTGAATTTTGTTCCTCAATGAATTTTCATTTGCACATTCTTGGGCGAATGTTATGTCTTTAAAATATCCCCAAACAAAAAAATCAATGGTGTTGAGGTCAGGGGAGCGTGGAGGCCATCGTATCGGTCCGTTTCGTCCGATCCATCTGTCTGGGAACCTTTCGTTTGAGTAGTTTCGCACGATCGTTGCGTTGTGGCATGGTGCACCATCGTTCTGGAACACCATGTTCCGTCTGGCTTCCAGGCTTGAATCTTCCAGCAATAATGGTAGGCTATTTTCAAGGAAGCTTTTGTAGGCTACCGAATCCAACCTTGACGGCAGTTCAAATGGACCGATAAATTCCATATTGAATATTCCTGACCACATGTTCACACTAAAACGGTGTTGAAATGTCGATGCATTATTATTATGGCGTTGCTCAAGGCAACGGCGCTTTAGCAGCTCAGCTGTACCGGGAACAACTTATACGCCGAGGCGGACCACATAGTCACCATCCCTCTCGATGCAAGTGGTGAGCCGCGGGATCAATTTTTTGATGCCGGCCTCGAAGAAGTCTCCCGCCAGCTCTTTCGTCCACTTCTCCACCTCCCCCTTCACCTCCTCGTCAGTTGAAAACTTGTTTCCACCCATGTGCCCCTTTAGGGAAGTGAAGAGAGGGAAATCTGAAGGAGCCAGGTCAGGGGAATACGGGGGGTGATTCAGAACTTCCCATCCAAAAGAGTCCAGGAGTTGCTTCGTGGTGTTGGCCGTGTGGGGTCTGGCATTGTCCTGCAACAGGCAGACTCCCTTCGTCAGCATGCCCCTCCTTTTATTCTCAATCGCCCTTTTCAATTTTTTTAGCGTCTCACCGGAGCTTTTCCCTTCACAACGAGGTAGCGAATGACGGCGCGAATTTCGCATTTGGCGGGAGATACGTTCGACATTTTTCGCGAGAGATGTTACTGCGTCAAGAGTTTTCAACACACTAACCTCAGATTGGTCTCTTTTTGAAGGGGAGGGGTCTGGCTACGCGGCAGTGTTGCCAACATGTCGAAAAAGTATTCTCTACAGCTGTGAGAATACCAGTACACTTACTTTCTGGACGTGCCTCGTACTTTCACGAGTGGCTTGAAGTTTCTGTTTTGGATACAACTTTCAGCTGTTGGATTAGTTTGATCTTCAAGATCTTCACGTTCTTCAGCATCTGAAGGGTCGTGGATTGAGATGTTGACACTTTTCGCTTTCGTGCTTTCCCTACACCCTGTACGTCGATGTGATGTTTTCGACATTGAGGGCTGTGTCAGCTCCCTATTTTCTTTTTCGCCTGAAAGCGCACTCCATTCTGCGCTGACTCTTTGCCAGCAGTAATGTTGAGTTTTTTATACCTTTTTGCGCTTCCACCTCGTCCATTATAGCCTTTTAGTTTCGAGACTCTCTAAAATGGAGTCTTGCAATGCAGTTCTGTCGACAGTTCTAGCAATAGATTAACGTCAAGCGGATAAATTCCACACTTTCTGAAACCTGAACGAAGATTTTCCTCTCGCGTTGCTTCCAAAACATCCGCTTAACAAAATCGTTAAATGAGTGCTGTGAGGTGACAAGCAAACAAATCTGATATTGTTCTGAGCGCAGGATTTGGGAACATCTACTGAAATATGAGATGATGTTTTGTCCTCCCCTTTAATAACTTTTGGACCTCCTTGTTTCTTTAGTTTTTTATAAGGATTTCAGTGAAAAAGCCAGTTGTTAGATATGTCAGATCAAACCAACTTGAAGAACTATTATTATACCTGGCATTTCCTTGGACCATGTTCTGCCGATGTGCTCCACAGTTGCTTTGACGTATACACCATATGGCGCCAGTAGTTCGCCTACCGCATTTCCATCAAACATTGAGACGTTGGACTTTTGGAAGTATTTCTTAGAAGCTCTGGATATTTCGCGCCACGCTTTGCAATGATCTTTTTTTGACGAGGATCATCTGACAGGTTACTTTTATCAAATTTCCATGTATTTTCAGGCAGAATACCTCTAACATCTTTCAAGTTTTGTATGTAGGCAATAATGGTGTCATTGTCAATTGCTGCTCTGTTACGCTTAATGTTGGACAAAAATCTCTGCAACCAGCATGAGTGCCTTTTCAGACAACTCGACACCCACTCATCACCTGGACAGTTATCTTTATACTTTGAAATTTTTCGTCCAGTTTTATCAAAGTATGTCCGAATCACGACGGGAAGATTGGAAGTTATCAAAGTAAAACAGTATTCGCTTAATCTTAGAACGCAGTCCGTGAACAATACTTCTTATTTTTTATTTTAGATCGCATGGAGGCCAGACATGCTCTCAGTCTTTCTTGGGTGTAATGTTTATAGCTTCTAACGCCTTTTATGACTTCTTCGCATATTTTCTGAAAGAATAAAAGTTTCATTATAAAGCAATTGTAGCTATTACGATTTGGAAAGCATATTCCCAGTTTATATAATAATTGAATACATTTGGGTCTACTTTGCTCCAGGAATAAAATTAGAGGTTAGATAATTAATGGCTAACTTGATAAATCAAATAAATATTAAAATTTTTGCTTAGCTTATTATATGAAAAACAACTAAAAGGTACAAATGAAGCAGTGTTTTATTTTCGAATAAGAATTAGGTTCTTAAATCCATACATAGTTTTCCTATTAAATTTCAAATTCAAAATTCACCGAAAGTCGGCACGGGTTAGAGTCAAATCGACAAAAAATTAAAGGATATGTGTTTGAAAAAAGAACTTACATCTTTCTGGGAAACCCTAACGTAGACCAATGGCTTATGTAGTGGTATATTGCAGGCAGCTCAAGAAGAAGTGACTCGTATCTTGAATGGCATAGAAAGCCACCGCATTCGCAAACATATCAGGTGTACATCAACAGAACTGGAAAGTCTGGACAGGTTGAGTAGTACTGCGGTGGCAGTCTTATCCATCCCCTTTGGATACTAACTGCCGCACATTGTCTCTTGGAGTTAGTGAGTAGCAATAAACCATTGTTTAATACGAGCCCTGTATCAGTGAAGTTGGCCCAACGCCCCAAAGCATGATATTTGTGAATTTATTTGAGGGCTAATTAAAATTTTGTATTAAATATAATTTCTTTAAATGCTTGTGGATTAGATAACAAAGTGTTTTTATTTCGAAATTGTCATATTTGAAAAATGTTTTGTGTATAGCGAAATACTATTCGTCATTTGATTGTCTGGGCGGTCCGTAAGACCTTTGCCCATTAGTCACTGTCTAATGTACGTTAGTCGAATCTGTCAGTCCAGGTTGCCCAGAAACCAGACAATGTCAAGGAGAAAGAGAAAGGGAAAGAGAAGAAAAAAGGTGAAAAGCAAAGAAAAACTGAAATGTTTAGTTTAAGAGGAAACACCTAGGCTTTTTGACTTGGTACCCGGATTAATTTTGAGATATACTAAACAAAGTTTGACTCGGTTTTGTGATAGAGTAATTTTAAATTTACTAAAAGTTCGCGCTAATTTTTGACTACAGTGCAAGCCGTGGCCTTGAATGCTTACGAATTTGCTCCACTGTGTAGCTCACTGATTCACGCAACAGAGGGTTACTGTGCGATTCCGCTTGAATATAACGTCGCTGCGCCTGAAGCTTGACATCATCCCTCAAGTAAGGAATCTCAAGGTCTCTGTGTAGTGTCTCGTTTAAGACATACCATGGAGCGTTACAAATTGTTCTCAACGTTCTGCTTTGCAACATTTGAAGACTTTGCATGAGTGTCTTGGCAAGAAAACATCAAGCCGCAAATGCATAAGAAATGGCTGGTCTAATAATCATTTTATATAGGCGAACTTTGTTTATGAAACTCAATTTGGAGGATCTACATAACAAAAAATATAGTTTCCGAATCGCAATTTGGAATTTTGCTTTCAAGGCTGATCTATGTTCCTGCCAGGTCATGCCTTTATCAAGGATGACACCGAGGTACTTGGCAGAATTTGTCCATGGTACATGATCGCCGTCTACCGAAACCTCTGCTGGGGGGCCTGCGACGTTTTTTGGTACAACGAATAGCCTGCGTCAGCATAGAGGCAGTCTTCACAGTTGCTGGGGCAGGGGACATCATGGATGAAAAGCCAAAGTCTAGGACCGAACCCTGAGAAACACTGGTACGTCCTGGCCGCGTTTTTGACAAAACATTGTTAATTTCGATCCGAGACTTCATTCCTTCAAGAAAGAATTTCAATAATCTTAAAAGCAAAAAAGGAAAACCGTTTTGGATTAGTTTATAGAAGAGGCTCGCGTGCCACACCTTGTCAAAGGCTTTTGAGACATCCAAAAGCAAGATGTCAGTACTCATGCTGAGGTTGAACCCTCTGGTCACATCTTCCACCAACCTGACTGCCTGTAGCTTGGTGCTATGCTCGGACCGAAAACCGAATTGAACGTCAAGAATCACGCGGTGATTTGACGAAAAATTCCCAATGTGGCGATAAATCACCTTTTCGGCGAGCTTAGAAGGAGCTGACAGCAGACTAAAGGGACGGTAATCCTGAGGAAATATCGTACCCACCTTCTTTGAAATCATGATGACCTCAGCAGTACTCCACCCAGCAGGGAAGTACTGAATTCTGAGCATCGTACTGATTATTGTCACCAAATATCTCAGAGCTTTCGGCGAGAGCAGCTTCAACGCCTTGTTGGGGATTTGATCATCCCCAGGTGGTTTATGCACCTTGAGGTCTTCAATATGATTTAGGAACTCTGCTGGTGTGCAATGTGGAACATCGGAGGGTGCCGCTAATGTGCTATGTGGAGCCTCAGACAAATCTTCTGAAGAAAAGTCATCTGAAGAGGATTCAGTGCCTCTGTTAACGCCGTTGGCCCTAAAATATCTCCTAACGGATCGTACGATCTGTTGTTCCTCGTCAAGGTCATTATCAAGATCATAGTTGGGAGAGAACTGTTTTTGCATGGCATCAGCGAAAATCTCGACCTTATCCTCCGTTTTGAAGACTATGCCTTCAGGACCGTGGATGTGCGGGAGTTGTTGTCGCTTTCCGTTTCTGAGTGACTCTGCTATCCTCAAGAGAGAAATACTTGAATCAAGCATTCCCGCTAGAAAGTCGCTCCATTGCTCGTTACGGAATTCGTGCAGTGCGTTTCTCACTTCATGGACAAGATTTGAAGCCCTACGACTGTCATCAGACCTTTTTGGCTGCTTAATAGAACCTCCTTCGTCAGAGACTATCCGCAGGCGAAAAAGGTCTGCCGTGTCGTTGTATAGGAAGTACAGCCGCACGCTGTAGTGCTGTCTGAATGAAAATTGTATTGATGTTTCTGACGAAATAAGAAAGGTGATCATTCACTGGCATTTAAAAGTCCAAAATGCTTCCCAAATCGCTGATAGTGTTATCAGGTCGGGGTGTATTCGAAATATTATTAAATTCTACAAGACAACGGGACCTGTGCCTCAAAAACCCAGAACTGGATGTCGCCCGCGTTATTCCAATACCAACTTGAGAGAATTAAAACGGATTATCAAGGAAAATCTGCGTGCTAATTATACAAATTGAAAATATTACGAAATGAAGCAAGCACAAAAGAGTTATCAAGAGCAACTTGTTACAGAGCTGCCCAATAACTGGGATTTAAAACTTAGAATGCACGCTTAAATTATTTTTTGTTTATTCGCTTTTGATTCAGTATCTCTAGGCAAAAGAGAAGGCCTTACTGACAAAGATTCAGAACAAAAACAGACAAGTGTGGGCCAAAGAACACAAATTATGGTCTCCAACCAATGGAACTCGATTATTTGCAGTGATGAAGCCAGATTTGAAGTATACATTCGTCATAATAACTAAAGAAGAAGTGTTTCAGAACGACTGTCTTAAAAAAATTTCCGGCTTCTGTTATCACTTGGGAATCCATGTCAGCAAACGGAGTGGGAAACTTACACTTTGTGGAAGGTATTATGAATGCTGATAAGTACATTAATGTGCTTCAAAATAACTTAATACCCCAAATTGAACAAATGCGTTCAAGCAATATTGAATGTGTCTCCCAACAAGATGGTGTCGCTTGACATACGGCGGAAAAGGAAAAGATGTTAGAAAACAATATTTCAGTTTTTAAATGGACGTCGAGTAGTCCAGATCTATCGCCGATTGAAACCTTGTGACATATCATGAAGAAAAAGCTCCGATCGAATCCCGCAAGAACCGTTCCAGAATTGCGAACCCATCTCCAAGAAATTTGGAATAGTTCTGCACCAGATGACTATCAAACATTAGTTGACACTATGTCAAGACGTATCGAAGCAGCAATTAGTCGAAAAGGTGATTTGCTGCTATTTGGTTTCGTTGATTTACCGATTCGACTCCATCTTTTGGATCTTTGCTCCAGAGTCAAAAATTGCACGGAAATGTCAGATTGTAAAACATTCTGTATCTAATACTAATAATAATAATAATAATAATAATAATAATAATAATAATAATAATAATAATAATAATAATAATAATAATAATAAATGGGCTTTATTTTATAACTAAGTGAAAGTACAAAAAACGCGAAGTGTCGCTAAGATTAGCGTTTTTCAACTTAACCTTAACCTTAACAAATATATATATATATATATAAAACATTCCACCAACAAAAATGTATCCATAATTCTCAATAATTACTAAATAATTAACAACACGAAAAAAACAGGACAATTACAAGAATAGTCCATATATCTAGCATTTTGTATTCATCATCAGACCTCGACTTGTAGTTTTAGTATAAGCCTCTTTTTAAAACTAAATAATGTATAGCTTTGGAATGTAACAGGCAGATCATTATATAATTTAATAGCATTGTAGCTGAATGATTTTTTGTAGACAGCCTTAGAATGTAAG